AATTCACAAGTTTGCGTATGAGAGCAAAAGAGGAGGCTGCCTACTGAAATTGGGCCAGGTTGGCCCAGCCCATGGTTCGGCCGAACCATTGGGTTCGGCCAAACCCCTCGCAGTGCCGTTTGATCCAGGTTTCACCTGAACGGCTGAGATGGCTCCCCAATGACGGTTGGTAGGTATAACCGACCTTTCCAACTGTCACAACCGTCATTGGGAGGCTATAAAAGGAGGTCACATCCTCACTTCACTCACACACCTCAAGCAAAGCTCTCTTATATCCTCTCAAGTTTAGTTTAGTAGTATCAACCTAGTGGAATAGGAATAGAGTAGAAATCAGGAGTTCGGAAGCCTTCGGAAGAGTTCGGGTATGGTATTGAAATACTTTCCGAGTATATGAATGCCTATTTTACATTATGTTCATGTTATACTGAATATACTGCTAGCTTATCTGAGAGATGCTTTGGTGCGGGTATAATGTTTGCTTATGCAATTACTCTATGTCATGACGATGATATTAGAGTAGTATCTGATAGTTTAGACGTGGTGTCTAGATTACAGGATATCATTATTTGGGGTTATATGCTGCGGATGATAGGTGGGCCGCTTATGGTGACAGCTTAGTATGGGTATTCCTCCGCGCGTGTATATAATCCTAATTTAATTCCCTGGGGAGGGTATTCCTCCGTATTTAGCCCTGGTTGTATGGTCGTGACGGGCTATCGTAAGGAAATCGGCAGTCAGGGGTGGCTTCTCGAAGTAGCAGGAGGGCCTCAGATAGAGGGTTTTAGCTAGTATATCAGATAACTAGAATGTTTGTATACTATGTATACTAGAATTATAGGAATAGATTTCCTATCTATTTTCTTTCCACTTAGCTTAGATAACTCTACCCCTTGATTATCTTAACCCCTGCTTAGGCTATGATTATCACAAGTAATATATAAATTATTAGTCCAGTTCTCTCTACATGATCTTCCCACGGGATAAAATAAATACGATATCCTTGGAATACTCTCGGGTGAAATGCTACAATGGTATATCCATGCGCTTGCGGATAAACTCTGTAACCATAATATACCAGGAGTATTTCAGCGCCATTGCTGGGAATTATATTTCTAGTAATGTCGTTAAGAAATACCAACACCCCCACTGAGGTAACTTGTATCACATTGCATATTTCCCTTTCCAATTGCATATTTGTTTTCCAATTGCATCCTATAAACTTGAAAACAACATAAAAATTTGCAAAATAGAAAATACCAAAAGGATAGGATAGGTTTGAGTCATGCTAGGTAAGACAAGCTAGTTCTCTTTGTTGAAATGATGAATAGTTGCTCTGTTTTATATCTCTTATATATGGGTTCACAGGTAAGTGCTCTTTCAAAGGTTAAATATTAGGAGGTGTTTGGTTCAGCCACTTTTGGCCCGTATCAGATCACGGTGTAAACTGAAAACGTTAAGCATGCTTGTTTCAGATGGGCTGTAATCGCATACTGCGGGATCCAATTCTGGCATAGCGTTAGGATGATACGGCCCAAATCGAGCGGTAACAGCTACCGAAACGGGGAGTTCGACACCCGAGCCCCTCCTAGCGCCATCCCTCTCTCGACAGCTCCACCCTACGCGATACGCCGTTGTGAGCCTCTTCCTTTCCCATTGTCCCCCGATCTCCTCACCGGTGAGCGTCACCGGCAAACTCGCGGTTAGGATTCGACTCCAGTGACCACCAGACAACCATCTCCTGTAAGGTCACATCCAAACAACGTGAATGAATCCGTGTATGTTACAGCAGCAAAGCAAACAAAGTAGGTAAACTGATACAATGTTTTCTGTTATCGCCGGGACCATTCCCATTAACGTTTGCATTGCCACGATCTAACCAAACACCACCTTAGTAGCCAATAATTATCTGGGAACCTGAGGTAAATGAGCTGCACTTGCTGATTTGAGTCTAAGTTGTTGCAAGATATGAGATGGTAAATAAGAGTTGCTATGATCATGATACTAGTTTGACTTGAATTCTGGATGTCTTGTTTTTTTCAAAATAATAAAATTGAGAGTTCCTCATTTGATATAAATTCCCACCAGAGCCAAAAATATGCTATCATGATTAAACTATATACATTTTGGTTACTTGTCATTTCATTGAACTTTATCAAATTCTTTTGACTTGTGTAGATACTTCTCATGCTCTATGATCAAGATCATACACCCACATATATACACATGCTAAACTCCTACACTGGGAGCCAAGTGAATATTCCATTCCATTCCCATACTACCACCAAAATAAATTCTCCATGTTTTCATGCTCTTTCTTCTCCTAAAAAGAAAAGTCATTTTGAAAAAAAAAAGAGAGCAGGAGGGAAAGGCATTGTTATGAAAAAAAAATAATATAAGTTATACTCTCACAAGCATGAGCATGAAATATATATATATATATATATATATATATATATATATATATATATATATATATATATATATATATATATATATATATATAAAAGGTAGCCATGCCCTCTCCTGATCAATAAAAGAAGGATTTTTGGGAGAAGGAAGTCAGCACAAAGGAGAAGCACCTTCTTTATTTCCTTCATATGCCATTTCCACCATATATCACACACACTTTACACGATCTTGATCTTGAGTATGTTTAGTTATCTGCTTTAGTCTAAGTTTTTGACTTAGTAATAAATATGAATGCAAGTATGCTATGTTTGATCTCTACCAAGCTCCACATATCAAAACCATAGAGTAGGAATCAAAAAGGCAAAATTGGTGAGGAATTCAAATTGATACACTTGGAGAGACTGAGTGAATCATTTGAGGAACTGTTGACAGTCGTTATCGATCAGTTTCGACCATCAATATTACCAAAATAGAGGAGAACTAGTAATGCTTGCAATGCATATATATGTTAGAAAAATAATATTCCACTAGTATTAGGTATACTAACCTTTTGCAGAGAATGACCATAAAGTGAAGGAGAATCGACATCAACACAAACGATAAATCAATCGGGCGTTGTCGAGAATTAGACTTATGTATGAATGGGCCAAGAACTCAGAATTGACACAACAAGCTGGGCCAAAATTCACAGGTATACATAAAGGAGCAATAGAGGAGGCCGCCAGCCGAAAGGTGGGCTGGTTGGGCCGGCCCCTGGTTCGGCCGAAACAGGAGGTTCGGCCGAACCTCCCGTGGTACCGATGGATGCAGGGTTTGGATGGACGGTCGGGATTGATCCCTAATGACGGTTGGAGGGAATTACCGACCATTCCAACCGTCACAACCGTCATTACCTGCCTATAAAAGGAGCTCCTCTTCTCACTTCACACACACACGTCAAGCAAAGCTCTCTCATATTCTCTCAAGTTTAGTTTAGTAATATCAAGCTAGTAGAATAGAATTAGTGTAGAAATCAGGAGTCTGGAAGCCTTCGGAAGAGTTTGGGTAGGGCTCTAGTAGCTTCCATTTCCTGTTTTGTAAACTTTGTACTTTTATTAGAATACTCATTAGAATACTCTTCTATATACATTTATAGTATTGAAATACTTTTCGAGTATATGAATGCCAACTTTACATTATGTTCATGTTATACTAAATAAGCTGCTAGCTTATCTAGGAGATGCTTTGGTACGGGTATAATGTTTGCTTATGCAATTGCTCTATGTCATGACGATGATATTAGAGTAGTATCTGGTAGTTTAGACATGGTGTCTAGATTACGGGATATCATTATTTGGGGTTATATGTTGCGGATGAGAGGTGGGCCGCTGATGGTGACAGCTTAGTACGAGTATTCCTCCGCGCGTTCTATAATCCTAAGTTAATTCCCTAGGGAGGGTACTTCTCCGTATTTAGCCCCGGTTGTATGGTCATGACGGGCTGTCGTTAGGAACTCGATAGTCAGGGGTGGCTTCTCAAAGTACCAGGAGGGCATCGGATAGAGGGCATTAGTTAGTATATCAAATAACTAGAATGTATGTATACTATGTACACTAGAAGTATAGGAATAGATTTTCTTTCTCTTTTCTTTCTACTTAGCTTAGATATTATATTATGAGAATGAGTAGCTGCTGCTTGTGTGTCACTCTACCCTTGGATTATCTTAGCCCCTGCTTAGGATATGTTTATCACAAGTAATATATAAATTATTAGTCAAGTTCTCTATACATGATCTTTCCACGGGATAAAATAAATACGATACCCTTGGAATACTCTCGGGTAAAATGCTACAATAGTATATCCGTGCACTTGCGGATAAACTCTGTAACCATAATATACCAGGGGTATTTCTGCGCCATTGTTGGGAATTATATTTCTAGTAATGTCGTTAAGAAATACCAACAAGCATTTCTGGCGCCGTTGCCGGGGAAGATTCATAATAGAGATTGCCTAAACTAATACTTTATATTTACCTCTGTATAATCATTTTCCTTTGCAGGCTAACCTTGGTTGTTTTCACTTTTGTTGTGGAAACAGGGTAGTGCATGACTGGTTTCAACTTGCCGGAAAACTTCAAAGAAAATCCAGAAGCTTTCTTCCGGAGCGTCAGGCCGCGAGTCGTTGCTCCACAGAAAACTCTACCGACAAAGAAACCAGCCGTACCATTGCCACCGACCTTCAAGACTATGGCTAACAAGACTCTCCGCGAGTTCGCTGCTCCCTCTGCTGACATTGTGGCCATTGGGCCGCAAATCAACATGGGAGACGTGGATTTCGACTTGAAGTCCAGCCTCATCACTATGGCGCAGGCTAGCCCGTTCTGTGGCAAGCCTAATGAGGATGCCAACGCTCATCTGCAACAGTTCTTGGGGATCTGTAGCACGTACACCATCAAGGGCGTCAGTCCAGATGCTGTCAGGCAAAGGCTGTTTCCGTTCTCCCTTCTAGGGAGAGCGAAGCAGTGGTTCTATGCCAACCGTGCTGCTGTCAATACCTGGGACAAATGCTCTAGGACATTCCTCTCGAAATTCTTTCCGATGGACAAAGCCAATGCCCTTTGTGGAAGGATTTCCAGTTTCCAGCAGACAAGGGATGAGTCAATTCCGGAAGAATGGGAACAATTGCAGGAGTACGTGGCCGCCTGTCCTCATCATGGGATGGACGACTGGCTAATCCTGCAGAACTTTTAAAATAGGCTGACTCCAATGTCCCGCAATCACCTGGATGCGGCAGCTGGAGGAGCTTTTTTCTCTAAAACGGTTCAAGGTGCCGTTCATTTAATAGAGAAGATGGTCTCCAACATGGGTTGGAGCGAGGAACGACTCCAGACCCGTCAGCGAGGCATGCACACAATCAAGGAGACGGAACTGCTTGCTGCCAAGCTGGACCTCCTCATGAAACGATTGGCTGACCAGGAGAAACGGCCACAAGGTACCGTCAAGGCCTTGGACTCACACGTTACATGTGAGGTCTGCAGCAACACGGGCCATTCTGGGAATGACTGCCCGGAAACCCGTGAGGAGGCGATGTACATGGGCAACAACAACAACGGGTACCGTCCACAAGGAGGTTAGGGGTGGAACCGACCACGCCCATTTTATAAAGGAGGAAACAACAACGATAACATTTCTAACCAGCCCTCCTTGAAGGATCTAGTTTTTGCGCAAGCTAAAACCACTGATGCATTAAGCAAAAAGCTTGCTGCCAATGACAATATCCTAGAGAACATTAACGTCAAGTTAGATGCTTTGCTTCTGCTTTTCAAAACCAGCTGAGCTTTAATAAAATGATAGAAACCCAGCTAGTTCAGTTGGCATCCTTAGTCCCTGCAAATGAAACTAGGAGAATTCCGGGGCAACCTGACTCATCCAAAAAGGACAGCCTGGTGGAGTTCATGCAGAATTTCCTGGAGAAGGAAACAATGATGCCCAGGAACCGTTATTGGAGGACGCCGGTAAAACCAACCATACTGCAGCCGACTCAGAGGAAGCCGTCTTCCGCACCAAAGCCAAGGAAGGTATGGAAGGAAAAGCCAAAGATGCCCGCTCCATCACCTCCGGAGACGAGTAGAAAATCCGTACACTAAACTGCAAGGAGGTACAGTCTTGCACATCGGACTTTAAATGACGCGACCTTCGCCAACAGGTAAATTGGTATGTAACCTTATATTTGTTTTCAACAATTTGAATTTTTGCATCATCACATGTTTGAATTTCAAAATTGCATTTAGGATTTTTGAATTTTTAGGAAATCCTTCAAATAAATTTTTCAGAGCAAACCAAAATAAAATTTTCAATGAAAATTTACTGTACCACGACCACAGTAACTGTTGGAATCCAACGGCCGAAAGTGGGGTTGGTTGGGCCCACCAGGGGTTCGGCCGAACACCCTGGTTCGGCCGAACCAGCCAGGCCAACGGTCGGCTGCCTCCCTTTTTGAGGCAACGGCTAGTGGGCCCCATAGGTCAGTTTTGACCATTGTGGGTGCACTACTTAAGCCAACCGGCCAGGAGAGGAAATTCCACCCCATTTCAACACGTTTCCATTCCCTCTCCAAAGTTTGCTCTCGAGTTCATTCAAGCGTTGATAGTTTTTCCTCAATATTCAAACACTTAGTTGCACATATACAAGTTGCTTTGGTGAAACTAACCGGCGGGTGAAATTCTTGTCATTCCTAACCCCCGCCGAGTTAGTTCGTTCTTGCTCCATTGTGCAGAATGAGGAGGCGACTATCTCGTCTGTTCAAGGGGTCCGACTCTTCGTCAAGTCGTCATGACAAATTTAGTAGTCGTTCATCAGTCGATGTCTCGATGGAAGACGCCGAAGCTCCGCGACGACTCCTGAACGACACCGACCTCGACCTTGTCAGTGATCGGGAGAGACAAGCCTACTACATTCTGAGCGACCGGGAGTATGCTCACACGCGAGAATACTCACCGGAGCTGCTAAAAAAAATAGGTATGGATGTTGAATTTCGTGCTATTTGGAAAGCTGTTGGTTGGCAGAGATTTGCTGTGGTAGATGAGCCTGGTTCTCGTTTGCTTACTTTGCAATTTCTGTGCACTTTGAAAGAAATAGAAGATGGAATTTCCTTTCGCTTTTTTCGTGGGGAGTTTACACTTACATGGAAAGGCTTAAGCACACTTCTTGGATTTCACAATTCCTGTAAAATCGATCTCCAGAAAGGAATTTCTGGGTTCGAGAAAAATAGGTTTTGGAAAGATTTTTCTGGTGCTCCAATTTGCAAGAAACCTAGGACGAATGATATCCATAATCCTACACTTACGCTCATGCACAAATGGATTGCTATGACTTTGTTTCCTACAGGTGATCTTAGACTCATTAGGGGGCATGAATTGATTATCATGTTTGCCATGGTTAGAAAGATAAAAATTGCTCCTGTGAAATGTATGATAAGACAATGGTTAGAAAGTATAAAGTTCTCTGCTCCTGTTGAGTGCACTGCTCTAATTACTCGGATAGCAAAAGGGCTAGGGGTCGTTAGCGATCAAATTTCTTTTATCTCAGCCGCTCGTCTGTGTATTGATGAGACTTATCTAGTGCAAGGGCATATTCTGAAACATTGAGAAGATGGATCTTTAATTTACTTTTTCCCCGGTTGTACAAATGAAATCTCGTTGCCAAATGTGGGGTATCATTTGTACAGCTGCCGTGAACTAACCATTCCCCAGCAGATCATAGAAGAATCTCATGCAGGTGGAGCATACAGGGAGACGCGCAACATGACAAGGAATGAACGAAAAAGTACATCATCCTCAACACCCGTGCAGATGTATGAGGCAGGTTGGGAACCAACTGGGGATGCACCCGGATGGACCCAAGCTCCATGCCGCAGCATCGGAGTCTTAGACTAGGAGAGTGCCAGTGAGGACCGATGGCGTGCGCCTCATGACATACATTGGGGGGATAACCAACCTTACAGATCAAGTGGTGTGCCTCCATCTCCAAGTGAATGGCGCTCAAGTTCCTCTCGTTGGGACTTGGGTGAAATCACTAGGACAATGGATACCCTTGATATGCAGACGAGAGAGATCCAGTAAAACCTCATGAAACACATAGCACATACGCAAGAATGGCAACAATCTGCTGATGCTCAGTTCACCAACTTCAACAACATGATGCAGCAAAGCACGATGACCTTCAAGCGTACTTCCGCTTTCACTTTCAGGGGTTCAATCCCTATCAAGGACCCTGAGCGAAAGCCAAGCTTGGGGGAGAGGCATCTCTCCCCCCACTGAGGTAACTTGTATCGTATTGCATATTTCCCTTTCCAATTGCATATTTGCTTTCCAATTGCATCTTATAAAATTTGAAAACAACATAAAAATTTGCAAAACAGAAAATACCAAAAAGATAGGATAGGTTTGAGTCATGCTAGGTAAGACAAGCTAGTTCTCTTTGTTGAAATGATGAATAGTTGCTCTGTTTTATATCTCTTATATATGGGTTCATGGTAAGTGCTCTCTCAAAGGTTAACTATAAGTAGCCAACAATTATCTGGGAACCTGAGGTAAATGAGCTGCACTTGCTGATCTGAGTCTAAGTTGTGGTAATATATGAGATAGTAAATATGAGTTACTAAGATCCTGATACTAGTTTGACTTGAATTCCGGATGTTTTGTTTCTCAAAATGATAAAATTGAGAGTTCCTCATTTGATGTAAATTCCTACTAGAGCGAAAAATGTGCCATCATGATTAAACCATATACATTTTGGTTACTTGCCATTCCATTGAACTTTGTCAAACTCTTGAGACTTGTGTAGATACTTCTCATGCTCTATGATCAAGATCATACACCCACATATATGCACATGCTAAACTCCTACACCGGGAGCTAAGCAAATATTCCATTCCACTCCATTTCCATATTACCACCAAAATAAGTTCTCCATGCTTTCATGAGCTTTCTTCTCCTAAAAAGAAAAGGTGGAAAAGGCATGGTTATGAAAAAAGAAAGTTATGCTCTCAGAAGTATGAGCATGATTTTGAAAAAAAAATATAGCCATGCCCTCTCCTAATCAATAAAAGAAGGATTTTTGGGAGAAGAAAGTAAGCACAAAGGAGAAGCATTTTCTTTATTTTTCTTCATGTGCCATTCCATCATATACCAGACACACACTTTGCACGATCTTGATCTTGAGTATGATTAGTCATCTGCTTTAGTCTAAGTTTTTAACTTAGTAAAAAATGTGAATGCAAGTATGCCATGTTTGATCCCTACCGAGCTCCACATATCAAACCTTAGAGTAGGAATCAAAAAGGCAAAACAGGTGAGGAATTAAATTGATAGACTTGGAGAGACCGAGTGAATCATTTGAGGAACTTGGGTTTCTTTTGCAAAAATCATTTGAAAACTTCTGGAATAAGAGTTGAATAAATATTGGGTGATTGGTGCTCTAATTACTGTTCTGTCTTTCAACCGCCCAAGGCAAGGAGAAGCAGTGTCTCGTGGGATCAGGGGTAAGGGTAAGCCACCGTGCCAAAGATTATTTAATCCGAGAGAGAGTACATATACCTTGCACCTATATCTTTGAGATATGCAGCATAGTAGCAACTTCTGATCAACAACCAAGTCTTTGTTTCCTTTCGTTCTTCACTCGGGACGAGCAAAGGTTCAAGCTTGGGGGGTTTTGTTGACGGTCGTTATCGATCAGTTTCGACCATCAGTATTACCAAAATAGAGGAGAACTAGTGATGCTTGCAATGCATAAATATGTTAGAATAATAATATTCCACTAGTATTAGGTTTACTAACCTTTTGCAGAGAATGACCATAAAGTGGAGAAGAATCGACATCAACATAGACAATAAATCAATCGGACGATGTCGAGAATCATACTTATGCATGAATGGGCCAAGAACTCAGAATTGACATGATGAATTGGGCCAAAATTCACAAGTCTGTGTATGAGAGCAAAAGAGGAGGCTGCCTGCCAAAATTCGGCCAGGTCGTCCCAGCCCAAGGTTCGGCCGAACCCCCCGCAGCTCCGTTTGATCCAGGGTTCTCCTAGACGGCTGAGATGGCTCCCCAATGACAGTTGGTGGGTATTACTGACCTTTCCAACCGTCACAAACGTCATTGGGAGGCTATAAAAGGAGTTCTCATCCTCATTTCACTCTCACACCTCAAGCAAGAGC